AAAATTTCCCCGCTAAATCTAGCGGAAAAAATTCCCCGCTAAATCTAGCGGAAAAATTTTTCTGGGGGGTCACGTGACCCCCCAAAGGTTACTTGACCCCCCCCCCCCCCCCCCCCCCCCCCCGCCCCGAGAAGAGGTAACCCTCAGTACCCTTCCCTCCTCCTCCTCAAGAGCTGCGCTCCAATTCGGTGTTACAGGGAGTTGTAAACGGCTTTCATTTTTGCATTCCGGCTCTCTGCTACCACCACTCCATGTCCGGCACTGTGCTACTACCCCTCTTCGAGCACGTCCTTGACGCGTCGGGTGAGGAGCGGCCATTGGGTTGGTTTTAGTAAAACCCCTCGATGTGTTTGCGTTTGTATTGCAAGTGGCGTCAAACGCGGCAGTGCACAAGAGGCCGCGTCTCGAGTGGCCCTTGGAAGCAAATGGTGGCGCAGCACTGAAATGGGCGACCCCTGGAAGTGAATGGCGATGGAGCAACCACTCGTGGGACGTGTCTTGCGCGTTTCCACAACAGTGGCTGGCGGTACTTGTAAAAAATGCCTTTATAAAGGGGCTTCAGGTTGGAGAGCCCCAGTGGGGAGGCCACTTCTCCCAGCTGCCAGGGCGTGGTTGGAGAGGGATAGGAGCGAATATTCTGGAGTGGTAAGGCTAGGATAGGGTCAGCTTGAACTTGGGAGACGAAAAAAACGTGTTGTTTCTTAAGTCCCAAGGTAAGGCTGTACGTTCGGGCATGTCCATAGTGTGTGAGAGTTGTTGGAGTTTCCCGAGCAGTGTGGGCATTGACGGGTACTCGTGCGACCTTGAATATAATGGGTTAGGAGTGAAACCGCAATTATAACCCCCTATTGAGGCATCAACTGCAAAGTAGAAGTTAGTTTCAGTTTTGTTCCAGAATTAATGTATGTCTCCTGGAATAAATATTAGTCAATGAATATGTCGACGTCCGCTTTCAAAATAAATTGAAATATTATTTTGACGTCCGTGACGCCACTATTAGGGCCGAGATGTTTCGGTGGCGCCCTCTTATGGTATCCCTCCGTGACGTCAAGACTGGGATTTGCCTCGCCGTGACGTCACCAGTTGTTATTCTGGCTACTTACCATCGGGTGCGACGACGAGTTCGATGGTGTGCTTAAAAAGCGCAGTAGAAGCTAGGAGCCATCGCAATCCGAAACTAACACCGTCAAAGTTGACAATCTGACAGTGCTCATATGCCCATGGTTTGGCCAATCATGGAAAGCTGACCACAGCGACGCTTTTGGCCGCGCACATCTCTGAAGACTTGAAAATATTTTTAAGGTCAATTTGACGTTCCTCGTCAAAATATTTTTAAAATTATTTTGACGCCTCAAACAGCTTTGGAGTCCGGACTGGAAAGTGTTCGAAAAGGCCAGTCAAGAATATATCATCTTCTTGCAGCCGGCGTCGTGCTGCAAGCTCATCTAAACTGCAGTCAACTGCAGTTTAGATAAGCTTTTGATGGCAAATGCGAAAAACATTTTCTAAGTACAACTGATCAGCTATCAGGCCGCACGTCACGTTTGCTAGTTTATGCTAAACAGAAGGCGGCACCGTTGCGTATCATTAGAATTATTTCGTGTTTTTTTTAACGTGGGAGTTGAATCTCGTGTCATAAAATGAGCAGTTAATTGGACGACATTTGCTGCCGGAAGATAAGTGTATCTCGTGCAGCCGCGGCGCAGACTGCAAAATGAAAACTTTTTGCTGGTTACTTCAGAACCTTTGTTGTTTGTTCGCAACGGTCAAAAAACATCAGTGAGGCAGTGTTTGCATTCACAATATTTTATTTAACATCCCGATCGTTTCTTAGACAACCCACTCGGTATACGTGAACCAAAAACTTAATCTAAGTTAAACAATCAACTCACGAATCCCGGTTAAAAGCAGGGCGGGAGCCAGATGCCAAGTCAGACTTCGCGACCGTCCGAAGACGGTCTCGTAGTGGGGACCTGGAGGCGCAAAAAGCGAGCCAAGCTTTCCGTGTTACGTTTTGTACGCACCTATGTTTGCCATGTGCAGGCAAGATATAGGAGTCACGATGTTTGAACCCTGAGACTGGGAAGGAAACTCGAAGATACATTAGAAGAGAAAGAATAAAAGTGACAAACAGCGTCTCAAACTCAGCTAAGAAACTTTATCTCATATCTTCTATATCTTTTATATCTTTCTTTGAAAATACAACGTCAAAAAGAAAATCGATCGCCTTTGTTGAGCATTTCATATTTTAAGTGAGACCCTGGCAAAATGACCTGCGAAAGCTCAGAACATCGCCGCTAGGCATGTCACGTCCGAAAGGTGTCGAGCCAGTCGAGCACACACACACTGAATAACACGTTCCCAGTGCCAAGTATAGGACCGAAATGTCTAAGGCATGTGCCACGGCGACACATGATACTGTCAACACAACATGGACATCACAGTCAGAAATTAAACAGAATAAAACCACGAACGACAAATGCAGTAGCGGGGGACGTCGTGATAATAAAGCTACTATTTGGACGTTCTACGAAAGTGACGTCATAGACGTCAAAATAACTTTTAGATATTTGACGATGGCCGTCGAAATAGTCACTGCCTATTAATTACCCTAAACATCCTTTTTTTTAAGAATAAATTGGTGGCATGCGTATGTAACACTCGCGTCCCTCGTATAAACGGGAATTATACTTGTGTTTCTCAGTGAAGCTCCAGCACACCAGACAGGCTCTGCAACTGGTATACCAGCACACATAGCCCCCTCACTATATCCGCCATCTTAAAAAAGTGAAAGCCGTTTACAACTCCCTGTAACACCGAATCAGAGCGCAGCTCTTGAGGAGGAGGAGGGAAGGGTACTGGGGGGTGAAGTGACCTGGGGGGGGGGGGGTCACGTGACCTTGGGGGTCACGTGACGATGCCGATAATGTCGTCAGTGACGTCACTGATGACGTCATCCGTGATGATGACGATGACGGTGCGGATGCCGGTGACGTCATCAGTGACGTCACTGATGACGTCATCAGTGACGATGACGATGCGGATGCCGGTGAGGTCATCAGTGACGTCACTGATGACGTCATCAGTGACGATGACGATGCGGACTCCGATGACGTCATCAGCGATGATGACGATGACGATGCGGATGTCGGTGACGTCATCGGTGACGTCACTGATGACGTAATCCGTGATGATGACGATGCGGATGCCGGTGACGTCATCAGTGACGTAACTGATGACGTCATCAGTGACGATGACGATGCGGATGCCGGTGAGGTCATCAGTGACGATGACGTCAGCGGGGAGGTCACGTGACCTCGGCGGGGGGTCACATGACCCTGGGGGTGGTCACGTGACCTCGGGGGGGGGGGGGGTCACGTGACTTGGGAGGTCATGTGACTTTGGGTGTCACGTGACCTTGGGTCACGTGACCCTGGGGGAGGGGTCACGTGACCTCTGGGAGTCACGTGACCTCTGGGAGTCACGTGACCTTGGGGGCCACGTGACCTTGGGATGACCTTGGGGGGTCGCTTGACCTTGGGGTGACCTTAGTTACGCCGACGCCGACGGCGACGTCAACGGCGACGCCGACGCCGCTCAAGCCGGGAACGAGTTGGAGTCGCGATTACGTCCGCCGAAACCCCCTTAAATACGCCGAAATGCGCCCTATGTGGTGGTTCGGTCTTCATGAAATCAATGACGCCAAGCTCACGTACGCCCGTAAACACGAAGCTTCGAAGGTGTCGCTCTGCACTGCGGATAGAACCGATGCTAACATGAAGCTGCGGGTTTCGAAAGAAGGTTAAGAGCCGCTTCTCAGTCAGTCATCATGAACTGCAGGGTGCGGCTAAGTACAAGTTCATTCGTCGCTTTCCGATTGATCGCCGATTGTCTTCATCGGTCGACAATGCTGCTTCATCGGCTGCCCAGGTGATGCGCGGTCCTGTTCTTGAGTATCGAGGGATCAGAGTTGTCCCCGTCGTCTCGTTTCTGCCACGCAGCTACAGCCACAAGGGTGCGTACAAAACGCCGGCGGAGCTGCTGAACGGCAGCGTGCTTCAGGAGCTGAAGAAGGGCGTGCAGCTGGTGCTGAGAGCGCTCAAGCGAAACGGCCTGCGGAAGCCCCTCTGGATCACCGAGGCGGCCTCCGGGGTCGGAGACGACCTGCTGGCAGTCTCGGGCACCTACGCTTCGGCCCTGGCGTACGTACCTGTGGCACTCATTTCTCGGGAAAAGCTGGAATGCGCGAGGTGAGGCTCAGGGGGCTGGGACGTCATTCGGGGAACGAAGGAGAGGAAGGCCGTCGAATGGCACTGACATGTACCAACTAGCTCAAGTCAAACCGGTAATTTTGTTGATTTTTATATTTTTCTGAATTTTCAAATATTTTATTTTTTGTGCGAATGCATTTAGCGTTTTAATTTAGTCCTTCTCCTCTCGTTTTCGTCTTTCCCTTGTCATGCATTAAACAATCAGTTGATAGTAAGCGCTTACCCTGTTCGTATCTTTGGTCTGTCCTTGTCCTTTGCGCTTTTGTAAATAAGATCTGTATGCAGACGTTCCTTTGTACGATGAATAAGCATTGCCTGTGTGACCCCGGCTTTACGCGCATTTTTCCGTCGCTAAGTGGGTCTGCTGGAGGCGGGGCGCGGGCCGGGCGTCGTTGGAGACACCGCAGCCAGGCCCGGGTCGGTCAGAAGACTTTCCCGGACCGGGATTCGAAGACCCCTTCTCTATACAAACAATAAATGACATCACTTCCGATACTGTCACAGAAATTTACACGTTTATGAAAGTGTCGTTGTTGCAGAAAAAGAAAACAAATACAGTCCAGAGGTTTAGAACAGGGGTCCCCAGAGGCCCCACGAGCAACTTGGGGCATCGCACTGCACAAGCGCAAACATTCAGCGCATGTGCAGTGCGAAGCCCCAAGCTGCTTGGGGGGACGCGAAGTGTATTCTGAAACTCCCTAATCTACGATGTTTGGCCCGTCAGCTTAGATGCCTTTTGTTGCTCCACGCAGGTGGCTCGACACCCTGGGGTCGGCGGCCAAGCAGGGTGTGTCCCTGGTGGCGCGCCAGTCGCTTCTGCAGGGCTCCAGCAGGCTCCTCGACGAGCGCTTCTCCCCGCTGCCCGACTTCTGGCTTAGCCTGTTCCACAAGCGCCTGGTTGGCGGGCGGGTGCTCCGGCTCCGCGCACAGCCCGGGACCGACCCGGTCCGGTTGTACGCGCACTGCCTGCGAGACGGCGCCGTCAAGGGCCGCCGCGGGGCCGTTGTCCTGCTCGCCGTCAACCTGTCCAACGACACCGTCCTGCTGCGGCCCAAGGACCCCGAGCTGCGCGCCAGCCACGTCATGCAGTACGCGCTCGGGCCTAAGGTGAGCGCTGTTAGTGTACCGTAACTGAGAGCTCCTGTCTAGAGAACAAAAAAAAAAGAAGAGGGCGAGAGGGAATGGAGATAAGAGGACTGGGAACAGGTTTTCTTCCTGGCAGGAGGCGATTCTCGGCCTCTAAGATGAGTCCATTGTTTTTTCTCCTGAAGGGCCCGCTGGACCTTCTGTCCGAGGACGTGCAGCTGAACGGACGGCTGCTTGCCATCAACGACAAGCTGCAGTTCCCGGACATTGTGCCCGTGGTGCTGCATCCGTCGCAGTCGCTAATCCTCAAGCCGCACGGCGCGGCGTTCTTCGTGTTCGCGGACTACCGGGCGCCCGCCTGCACGGCCACTTTCTGAGGACGCCACGCCGGATCGTCTTCCTGATAAAGCGTCATAAAGCGTCATCTTGTGCGCCTCCGCTTGTCAATATTTTACTAACATTACGCGGTTGATGAGACACGTTTAGACAAACTTCGTGAACGTCTTATTTATATAGCTATATTGTTTGGCGCGTACCACTTCATCCCCTGGCGGTTGAGCCACAGACTCGGTTTTTATTTGATGCAGATAATAAATGGTATTGCATTTTAATGTCTCACCGCCAGGCCTACGACTCATATGCATTATAATAGTGTTTTCATGTGCTCATAAATATCCTTTTTTTTTTGTAATTCAGGCATAATCTTTGCGTTCACTCGACGTCCCTTGACATTTGCTCATATCAACGCAGCCAAGTATAATTCCACCAGTGTCTGCTTGTAGTACTAGCCATATCAATAAATAAACTTGTTTTATAATTTGCATGCGATGGTATATGTCCGCTTTCTTTTCGTTAGTGATGTCTCATTAATACAGACCCCGTTATTATGGATACCCCGCTATCATGGAAACTATTTTTTGGGGACAAACTGAAGAAATTACATCAATTTTTGTCTTGTTATAACGGACAACTCACGTTAGGGTCAATTTTTGGGGGCAACGGAGGTTTCCGTGTTGACGAGACCTCAATCTATATATAATTTCGAAGATTGAATCTTTATTGTAATTTATACCCTAAATTTACGGTGTTACACACGGACGATTATCCCTCAAAAGAGGCATCTTGTTTGGTTTGCACGGCCGGTGGATATAGTCCAATAACAATACAGTAAGATTTTTTTTTCTTTTTGCCGTTTCGTTCATCATGTTGGTACGATAGGTATTCGTACTGTATCTCAAAGACCTGATAGCTGGGTTTGCAACGACTAGCCAAGTAGCAACGGCAAATTCCCGGCGGATGAAAATATGACGCAACACGAGACACTCACTGGCATTACTTTTGGTGGCAAAATCGATGTCGAATGGCCGATCCAGACAGCTCTCTGTTAGGGTTTCTATGCTTCTTTCAAGTTTATTTCAAAGGTTAAAAGCGCAAAACAACAAGGACAAAGAAGGACACAGACAAGGGCTAACTTGTAGCTGGTATTTTATTCCAGTCAGTCAAACCAGCCCACATGCGTGAACAAAGTTGCCACTCATGCGATCCACTTCAGATTAAAAACTACAAAATACACAATTCTACACGCGTGTTCATCCTAAGCTACACACGTCTATACGAAACCGTCCAGAAAGGAATCCTCTCTGTCACTAAGGGCAACAGACGGCGTGCTGACGTAGTTGTCCCCCAATGCTCTGATAAAAAACGCATTAACCATCTCTCTTTCCATCTTGTTACGGGCTCTTTTAATAAACTTGGTTCGTTCTAAATGGGGTTCACAGCCGCAACGCATGCAATGAACCGCACGGTACACGTACCTCGTGCACTGGCGCATTTGCCGCTAATTGCGAGACAAACACAAACACATCGAATAATTTTATACTCTTTCACCTCGTGTTGTACCGCAGAAAAGGCTACATGTGCGAGCTCTTTGCTCTAGGGCACATCTCGGCGGCACAAGCTCCCGTGCTCCAAGGGCAGCTGCCAACGCTATGAGCTCTCGCTTCTATACTTCGTTTCAGCTTCGGTCCGAGCGTGGCCGATGTTATGATCCGAAGGGCCAATCAAACAGCGCCAAAAGCGCAACGTCATGGCGTGCTCTCTGTGCTTGATAGGACTAGCCGGCAGAAGAGCGCGCACAGAGAGACGGTGAATCCCGGCTGGTCCTATCAACTGCGGAAAGCACGCCATGACGTTGTGCCTCCTTCGCTGTTTGATTGGCCCCTCGGCTTATAACATCGGCCGCGCTCGGACCGAAGCTGAAACGAAGTATAGCCTTCGCTGCGGTACAACATAAGGTGAAACGGAGTGTAGTGACGACTGCGCCAGGACGCCGTGTATTGCCCTTGGTGACAGGGAGGTTTCCTTTCTGGACGCTTTCGCCTAGACGTGTAGAGTTAGGATTTGGGCACGCGTGTAGAATTGTCATGTGTAAGTTTTAATCTAATTTAATATTGCCACGCTCGTCGGCGATCGACTGTGTGCGTGGCCCAGTGGGCTGTTTGTGTTCTTGTCTAAGCAGGCAATAAAAAAAAAAAAAAAAAAGCGTGCGTGGCCCAGTGGTTACCGTGCTTGACTGTCGCGCGGAAAGTCTGGGTTCGATTCCAGTCAGAGGAATGCTCTTTTATTTGTTCTTTCAACATTGCGTTCTAGTGTGTTCGAGAACATTCTCGTATGATCGAGTTACGAATGTTCCAGTCGCCGAACAATCTAGGCCGATTGTTCCAGAACCCAACGCGCGTACATAAGGGACTCCGCGTACTGGGGTGCTATGTTGCGCTTTTTGCACTCCCAGGAGACTTGGAAGAGGGAAGTGACATCAACGACACAGCAAATGCAGATTGGATGTTGACAGAAGAAAACAAAATCAACACCCAATCTGCGTTTGCTGTGTCGTTGACGTCACTTCCCTCTCCCTAGTCTCCTGGGAGTGCAAAAAGCGCAACATAGCCCCCCTGATCTGCAGTCAGTTTTCGTCCCAGCGCTCGACTCTGCTGTCTCGCCGACTTCGACGCTCGCGACGCTTTGTTATTATTTTCTATTGCCTTTTGTTTTGGCACAAGTTCGCCACATTAAACGTTTATTTCTTCCTGTTTATTTATTGTTATTCTGGTCACCACCCGTGACATTTTGGTGGAGGTGCGGGGTACCGCATGCCCGTGCAACGTTCCCCTCCAAGGGCCCGCAGTCCAAGTCCGGTTCCAAGCCCAGTAAAGGTGTATCCACACGACGGACCAAATTGCTGTTTTGGTCCGCGGGCCGCGCATCACGTGATCTTACGTCACCGCTTTTCGAGGTCCGCTGTCGGTCCGCGGCCCGCGCTTGTGAGAAATGCCAAGCGCTTTTCTTGCCCGGACCTTGGCGGCGGACCGCGGCGTTTTTAGTATAATTGAGTGCTAAGTCTGGCAACAAGCTGACTTTTGTTGTTTAGATTGGAATCCAAATCCAAAGTAGTGTTCTTTTGGCGCCAACTGTTGAAGACAAAGAAGACGGACCCTTTGTTGTGCGACGATGGCGGCATGGTGCGACGATGCAACTTTTTACTTCATCGCGCTCGTGGAGCAATTCCCCGCTCTGTGGGACAATAGATGCATGCCCTTTTCGGTTCACCTATGTCCTCCTCGTCCTCAATAGTCAACGCCAGGGCCACCGCGGCCAAAAGTCACTTTCGTTCAACCTCCATCTTGGCTCCTTACAAATAGCCTCAAAGCAGCTCGTTGCATGCGTTTGGCGGAGCTGTGAGGTCGAGGGTTAGACCGGCCCGTTCACTCTGTCGTCTGCTCTTTTGGTCCGCCGTGTGGATGCTCATTGCAGCCGGGCAGCCCGCGGGCCGCGCATCACGTGATCAATCGGTCCGCGGACCGGTCCGTCGTGTGGATACACCTAAAGGTGTATCCACACGACGGACCAAATTGCTGTTTTGGTCCGCGGGCCGCGCATCACGTGATCTTACGTCACCGGTTTGCGAGGTCCGCCGGCGGTCCGCGGCCCGCGCTTGAGAGAAATGCTAGCGACTTTTCTCGCCCGGACCTTGGCGGCGGACCGCGGCGTTTTTAGAATAATTGAAGTGCTAAGTCTGGCAACAAGCTGACTTTTGTTGTTTGAATTGAAATCCAAATGCTAAGTCGTGTTCTTTTGGCGCCAACTGTTGAAGACGAAGAAGACGAACCTTTTGTTGTACGACGATGGCTTCATGGTGCGACGATACAACTTTTTACTTCATCGCGCTCGTGGAGCAATTCCCCGCTCTGTGGGACAATAGTTGTATGCCCTTTTCGGTTCACTTAAGTCCTCCTCGTCCTCAATAGTCAACGCCAGGGTCACCGCGGCCAAACATCTCTTTCGTTCAACCTCCATCTTGGCTCCTTACAAATAGCCTCAAAGCAGCTCGCTGCATGCGTTTGGCGGAGCTGTGAGGTCGAGGGTTAGACCGGCCCGTTCACTCTGTCGTCTGCACTTTTGGTCCACCGTGTGGATGCTCATTGCAGCCGGGCGGCCCGCGGGCCTCGCATCACGTGATCAATCGGTCCGCGGCCCGGTCCGTCGTGTGGATACACCTTAAGGAGACCACTCCCCGCGGAACCCGAAACTCGGACCAGCCGGCGCATCAAGGGAGAGGATCCTGAATACGGTTCACTACTGGACAAGCCCCAGCCGAAGAAGACGACGATGGCCAACCAGTCGCAGACCCCGGCCGCTCCTGCCTTCATCTACCTGCCCGTCGCACCCCGGACTCCGACGCCATTCCACGGGGACGCCCACGAAGACGTCGAGGACTGGCTTCAACAGTACGAGCGGGTGGCCCAGCACAACCGATGGACGGACGACCAGCGCCTGCAGAACCTTTACTTCGCGCTCGAAGGAACGGCCAGGCACTGGTTCGAGAATCGGGAGACTTCGTTAGTCTCGTGGACCGCCCTCAAGAATGAGCTGAGGCGAACTTTCACTAACCAGTATCGACGGGAGAGGGCCGAGGACCTTCTTCGAATGAGGACCCAGGGCGCAAACGAGACCATCACCAGTTTTGTCGAGGATGTCCTGCGCCTGGTCACTCGCGCCGACCCTCAAGCCACCGACGAAAAGAAGTTGCGGATCCTGATGCGAGGCGTATACGAGATGACATCTTCGGAGGCCTCGTCCGCAACCCGCCGACCAGCGTCGAAACGTTTGTAACAGAGGCGACCAACATTGAACGGGCCCTGCAAGCACGAGCCGCCGCTCACTTCCATCGAGCCCCTGCCGTCGCTGCACCCACGCCGTCAAGCTGCGCCCTCAGCCCCAATATTCCGGGGATCCGAGAAATAGTCCGGGACATCGTCCGTGAAGAACTGAAGAAGCTGATACCTGCCGCCGAACGTCCAGCTTCACTCTCGATCGCCGA